GGCTAAATTTAATCAATTTACCACAAAAGGTATATCCTCGTCTTGTGTCTTTATTTTATGTTCACTTGAAAACTACTGATGAAGAAGATAGAGACTTTAGTATTATATCTTATGTGAAAGGTAAGGCTATTGAATTTGACATCCCCACTTTGGCATGAATTATTGGAGTTGAACAAGGGGATATGCATATGTGATATTATAATGAGTCTGATCTACTTGATATTGTTGGCAACATAAGTGAAGTATATACTATTATTTGTAAGAGGAGATTTACCCGCAGTAATTTACAAGCAAGACATTTGAAACCGTACATTCGTATTCTTCATCCATTTATAGTAGAAAATGTCCCTCCCAAAAGATTTTGGGGAGGACATTTTGATGTTGTTCCAATTTTTAATACTTATTTGCTATATTGTTTTGAAGTTGGACACAAATTGAATTTTGCTATATACTAATGAAAGGAATGCTTGTTGCAAATCTTGGTCATATCACTGGCCAATCACTAGTTTTTGGAACTCTACTAACTGAAATTTTCAAAGTTTTTAAGATCAGAGTTATAGGTGAAGTAGAGACTAAAATCTCTTCTTCAATTTCAGAGTATACACTAACCTGAGCTGGTGGCATTGAAAATTTATTGCAAAGCCTGAATGCAAATGCACCAACAGATGATGTTCCCGAAGACCCCATGACAATGCCATGCCAGTAGGTGAACAACCACAATACTAGATTGATTTTTTGGCTATGGAACAAGAATGACACAATTAGTGCGTTCAATGGGAACAACAAATGGTTAATCAGTTCAATGCATTGGGTAATCAGTTCGATGCATTTGCCACTGCTTAGAACTTGTTAATTCAGCAATTTGGTGAGTATCGTGTAGACATTGAAAGATGTCATGAAGTGACAAGCAATCGCATTGATCAAATTGAGTATTGAGTCAGTGAGATCTACCATCACTACCCTCCACCACCACTTGACAATGACCTTTGATGTGTTTGGATAAGAAATTGGATGTATCACAAATTTATATGGTTTTTGGTTGTTTTGAAGATGCACTACTACATTTGGTTTTTGCATTTTTCTGTTTGTTGTATTACTTTTTATTTGTTGTTACTTATTTTTCTTTATGGATGTACTAGTACTATGTCTGTTTATATTGGACTATTTTCTTTGGTGGTGCATGCTTTATGAATTTTTTTTTGGAGTTAGTGGATTGCTTGTTTTGTTATGTATTGTTCATTTGCTTTTGTCATAAGGGCCTATTCCTCATATTTTTGTCATTTGTTGTTCAAGTTTGATACAAAAAACACCAAAAGGCCATTTGTTAGCAAACATGTAACCTTTTTCACAATTTTGATACAAAAGAAATAAATGAATCCTATAGAAGAGGTAGATGCAGAGACTTGGATGCTCAAATTGTTTCCATAAATTGATTTTCAGTGTAAATGTACTTCACATTTTAGATGGTATCATATTTATATTTCCTAGATGGTGTAATTTTTGAGTGTTTTTCTTTTTAAACTTGAAAGGAAACTTGTTTGTTATGCTGTTTTTGTTTTCAAAAAATGGAATTAAAAAAACAATGCCCAATTAGTACACATTAATGTGTGTTTCTATGATTTTTGTTTTCAAAATTTTGACTCACGGTTCAATGTGTTATTTATTTATTTTTTTGTTTGTTTGTTTTGTTTGTTACATAATCATAAATAAAAATGATTTGGTGACAATTCTCAAACCTTAGTGCTTGAGTTCTTGATAGTTTCGCTCTTGATAATTTGGTGAGTATTGGTTAACCAAACATAAAACCAAAACATCCAATCTTGAAATGCAGTCACCTACTAATTTGACAGATACAAATAATCAAACCAATACACTTGATACTCATAACAGACCAACCATATGTTATTTCTCAAATTTTGAACCCACCATCTATATATCTATAATAATAATAGATTTAACTATAAAAACAGATTAAAATGCAATGTAGAAATACACTGCAAGTCGTTCAATTGAAATCATCGTCTTCATCAAACAGTCAAGGAAATCTATTTGTTGTCAAAATAAGATTTGTTGTTGAAGCTCTTTATAGTAGGCCCTTTGCATATGATTTAAATTGGCCATGTTCATTAACATTATTTTATGATCCTCATTTCGTTATTCTCTTTCATTCATCATAAATAATATTTTTAATTGTTTCTCCCTATCATCGACCCTTCTTTAACGCTTTGCAACCTTCTATTCATGGTCTATCGCCTTTTGTTTATCTCGCTCAACAGTTCTAGCGGAGATAGTTGACAACACTTCAACAATTTTAGATTGGAGCCATTTCCTCAAATCTAACATCGTGAATTGCTTGATTCTTCAACTTCTCTTTCGTAGTCTTACTACCAATTGGTCGTGTTGATGGATTAGACGGTTGTTGGCCCTCCTCAATATTATTGTTGGGTTGAAAAGGCTCACATTCAGTTGCTGGATTCGAAAATGGATAAGTTTGTGGCGTGGCTTTTTTGGGTTGTGTTCTAATTTCATCTCACTTAGAACTTTGGCGCAAAATATCCCAACTTGTATCAAATGTGAAATGTTTTTTCTGTATTGCATGATACATGCACTTAGCTTCAGCGACCTAAAAAAGAAAATTATAAAAATTTCAATAAAAAGTAGACTGAGAACTCAAAAAATTGATGTTTAGTAACAGAAATGAAAATTACCATTTCTGCCTCAGTTGTTCCATTTTGTTGCCTCAATTGGATTAGCTCAAGGAAACCACAAAATTTATTAATTGCCTTTTGCATAACAGACCAATGGTGAGACAAAGAAATACGGTTTCGATTTGATTCATGATTCAGTTGTGAATTAAAATAAACGAGTACTCGTTCCCAGAATATTGCCATGGTCTGACTATTACCAGCAATGGGATCTTGAGAGATGGCCAGCCAAGATCTACATAAAGTTTCATCTTCTATAATGATGAACACTTTAGCACGAGAAACACGAGAAGCTTCCAAAATGAAATTAATATCAGTGTTTTGCTCTGAAGTTTGTGATTCTTCAAACATTTCAAAATCTTCCATAGTTTTAAGATAAAATTTGCACAAATAAACAAGTTATAAAAAATCAATAGGATACAACATTCAACACATAGTGAAATATATTGTAAAAGAAACAAGAAAAGATGTGGAGAAAAAAGTGAAAAATTGAAGAAATAATATAGAATAAAGATCACACAATGAGAAGACAAAAGAAACAAAAAGTGAAGATTGAAGTTAACAATGACAAAGAAAAGAGAAATTGTAATGATATTGTCAAATTAAAAAACAGGTAGAGTCTTATTTTATAGACCACAACAATGGTAACTTTGTCAAATCTTCTGCAAAACCAACAGTAACCTTATTGGAGTTGCACCCTACTAAATGAACGGCTAATTTTGATATAAATTTAAATTTACATGCAATGCATTTGCCTTTGCTATCCATGCAACAATGTTGGTAAGGAATTTTGTCTTGGTGCCACAAAAAAGCAACCAACAATGCAAGTCAATTCGCAGTCCAAACCATGGCTGCTGCTGCGAATTTTGTTTGTTAGTCGGACGACTGGGGGACAATTGGCTGGACATCCAGTGGGTCTCACCTCTAAGGTACACACACAATAAACTATTGAAATTTGGCCCTGTTTCTCAGTTTGGTAAAAAATTTAAAACGATCTCAATTTTATACAACTTTGATAAAACTGGTAGAGACTAAAAAAATATTAGAGATTAAACATTAGAGATGGCCTCGTGGGCACACGGTGAAACAAGAAGGTTTCGGGTGTGGTGGTGTGGACTATGGGGGTCACGCCCCACTCTAAATTTATTAATTAATTAATGGCTCTTTTAGTTTCATTGTTCCTCGTTTTTATCTTCCAATTGATTTGTTTTACCAATAAATCCATGTACTTTTAAAAAGTTGGTTTTCCAAAATTACCCTTTGATAGTACACTTTTTTGAGAATATCAATGTCATAATTGTACTTTTTATATTATTTATGAATTTAAAAGAAGGGCAAAATGGGAAATTTATATTATTTTTGTACTTGATTTTTGAAGAGGGACTAATATTTTGGGACAATGAAAAATGGAATAAGAGACTAATATTATGGGACGGAGGGAGTAATTAATTAATGGCTCTTTTAGTTTCATTATTCCTCGTTTTTATCTTCCAATTGATTTGTTTTACCAATAAATCCATTGCATGATGTGACTTGATGTACAAAGGTTTTCCAACAAATGGCATCCAACGTTTCTATTAATTTTATTTTAAGTGATTTTTTTTTTTTTTAAATTGTTTTTAAAGTTTGTGTCAAAAGTTTACTGCACTCTTCATAACCCGTCGTGATCCTACATTGTCTAACAATAACAATGATGATGTGAACATAAGTATAGGTTTGACATTCCTTAAAAAAATTTAAAAATTATTATTTCATTTAAATTATATTATCTTATTTCAGTCATATTACTTTTTTATTATATCACTTCAAATCTAATTCATATTTCATAAAAAATTTAAAAATATATTTATTTAGAACATTCCAAATAACCTCTTAGATCTTTTAGATACATCTCTACGGAGTTTACTTTTGAAAATATATTTTACTTAAAGAGTTTGTATAATTTGATATCATAATTAATTACTACATTGAATATGAAATAATTTGTAATGCTTCACTACGGAGCGGCTACACGTTGCTTAAAAATTTCTGTCATAATCTCTATTTATATATTTTGGCCATGCAAAAGTATTATTATGATTTTAATAGTTTTGAATAAATTAAATAGATTTATACCGATCTCATGTTTATGCTTGGCTATGGATGCTGTTGTTTTTTGTTTTTGTTTTGTTGTTTTTTTGCATTGGGTTAAAGCCGGCCAGTATCAAAATCGTCGACAAGTCTGTTTTTGGGCTTTAGTGTTGGTTCTCATTCATGAAAGATTTACTATAAATAGGAGGGATTAAAAGAAGCCACAACCCAGAAGAGAGGGACATTCCAATTTTTTGAGTAAGAAGAAGAAATATATATAGAAAACATGGCCAAGACAAGCAACAAAACTACCATGTTTCTAAGCATGGTTTTGTTACTCTCTCTTATTCTTGGTGGTAAGTTTTGAATCTTCTAACACACACTTGAATACAAATGTAGCTTTAAACAATGTTAGCGGCATAAAAATTAAAACACGGAATGTGCACAAAATTTTTTTTGTACGATTCAAATTTATTTCAAATATAACTCGTATCTACTCTAGATGAATTTTAGACACGTAGTACATTTTTTAGTACACATTATGTGTTCTACTTACTGGTAGGGCTATATTGGGACCAGTAAGGGCAATTGCTTACTGGATTTTTAAATTTTTATTATGTTATCTATGGATTTAAAAAACTTTCAAATTTCCCTCGTTGAAAAATCAAAATTATTAATTTTTATTTTGACTACAATTACGATTTGTTTTCCGAAATTGTCCCTATTATTATTATTATCTTTTTATTAAGTTTATAAGAAAAATTGATTGAGCCATTAAGTATGCAAAGGTAGAAGGTGTCATTAAATTTACAAGTTTAATCATCACATATTTTCTTGTTTTTGTTTTCTTACCTCGATCTGCAACAGTTGTGGTAAAGAAGGCAGAGTCTGCGGTAAATTGTGATGCAGTTGTGGGAGTGCAGAGCGGAGAGACATGTTTTTCCATTGCAAAGGCATTCAGTTTGAGTACTGAATTCTTCCTTTCGATCAATCCGAATGTCAATTGCAAAGCTCTCTTTGTTGGTCAATGGCTTTGTGTTTCTGGATCCCCAAATTAAACTTGGATAAAAAGAGCAACTTTTTCATATGGCAGCTTTCCCAAATACTTACTTAAATGAATGCATAATGAATAAGAAGGAGATGGAATTTGATTTCCTATCCATGTTAGGGTTATGTTTCTGTTAATTGTCTGGCTATTGGTTTCATGTATCCATAGCCATAGCCATTGCTCTTTGTTGTTGTTCTTTTGAATTTGAATATGATAATTTACCTCTTT